TTCCATAGACTTCTGCATTTATAAACGGAGTTGTAATTAGGGATTTTAAGCTTTGCAATACTATCATCAGGCAGAAAAATTTTACTCAAAATTGCAAACTCAGTTCGACTGGAATTGAGGTGGTCCAATAAGTAGGCATTGCGCCTGAAACTTTGTATATTGTATGGTAAGGAAGATGTCTTTGGGAAATACGAGAGCATGTTAAAACCGAATTAGATGTACGTTATTTTAAAAGGTCAAATTTTGATTCAAGGGTTGCAATTTCTGTTTGGATGGTTTTTAGCTTTTCTTCATAACGGGTAGTGGAAAGAATTTTAAAAATCTCTTCGAATAATATTTCCATTTTTGTCGACTTGTGGTTATTGGTGCAGGTATGCTTTTCAGAAGGATGGAGAGGTTTTTTTGGCTCCTGTATCTTAGTATTGTAAGTCGAGGGCATCTTGTGGATCGCCCTTTGCTTGGCTTTGGGAATACCATTTTTAATAACCAGATTAACATTTTTTTTAACTAAAATATTGTTTGAATCTAGAGTCGGAACTTTTATGTTGTTGGATATAGTACTATTCTTCATTGCCGGGAGCTATTTTGGATGATTAAGATTTTTTTGATGTTTTCCTCCTTCATTCTTTTCGGACTCTCTCTATAAATTACATTATGGTCCAACGACCACAACCTAAGCTTTTGATTAGTTTGCAAGAGTTAATGGGGCAGGCCTTACCGTATCTGCCTTCCCTGATTTTGCAAAATCTGAAAATGTGGCCAAAACTGCCGCAATTGAAACACAGTTTAACAGCAGGGATAAAGTAGTCCACTGAGACAATACAGTAATTGAATTTAACGTTTTTGTGGGTTAATTTTCCCTCAAGTCAATCTTCATGCTGTTTTTAGGGATGAATATTTCGTTGTTGAAAAGATCCCTTCTATGAAATCTCGTGACGGAAACGATCTCAACTTCAGAAATAGCAGAAATCAAAAAAACTTCCTCCTTAATTGAAGGAGGGGTATTTCTTACAAACCCGAATTTTTCAGAAAATTATTAAAATAAAAAATTTAATATTTAAAGTTTCTATTTTATACTTGTTGTTGCTGTCGTTTTCTTAATTTGTCTATTTTGTTTCGCATTTATTTTTAGGTTTTTCAATTATTATTATCTTATATTATCGCATTTTCTTATTCATAGAGGGAACAATTTGTGTAAGATAATCTGTACGAAGTTAGCTGACAGACTGACGGAGGAAATTAGGGAGTTAGTTACCACCCAAGAAGTGGTTAGGAAAATTTACGCAGTTATTTATAGTTTGAAAAGGGTTGATAGAAGACATGGCGGTCAAACTAGGATGACGGACTACGTTTGGTATGCGCGTAAATTGGGGCTGGCGTGGGCGGTAAAGACAACAAAAGGACATACAAGCGACTGGCAAAATCTACAACTTAACACGGACAGCGAGGACGACGAACCCTTTTTGGGATTCGAGTTAGGAAAAAACCAGGTGACAGGACCAATAGAAGTATGGAGGGAAGAATATTGTGACCCAAACCGGAGACAACTTAGTGGGGAATGACGTTCAGCAAAGGACAGGAAAGACAGACGAACCAAAAACTATGGTAGATTTAAGAAATATTCAAATAGTAAGTCCAGATATATTAAGCGACGGCATTTATATCAGCGGTCCATCAACATCGGACCATGCGCGACTAATCAAACAGCTAGAGGATGCTAACGCCGAGAAAGAATCCCTGAAACCTGCCCGTATAAAACAATGCTTGGCTTCGGCGTAAGAAGCCCGGCGACGGTTTTCAACCTTATTATATTATTATAACCTCCCCTCCTCTACGATCCAATGTTTTAGAAAAATTGATACTGGACAACATAAACCTGGCAAAACAAATTGGGCCCTCAAATTAAAGAGCCCTCATTAAGGATTGTTTTTCTGGCTTTGTGCATTGTACACCATCTTTCGGGAGCAATTCAAAATGGTCACTACCTCCCATAAAATTGCCAGTTTTAATAGAAAAATTGTTAGATCCTAGCCTGGATTTCAGATTTAATGTGAGTTTTTCATGAAGCGCATATCAATATCTAATATATTTTTTTATGCTTTTCTCAGATTAAAGTGATTTTGACGGAACATGCGAAACATTTCTTAGATTTAGCTAGCATGCTGCAGAGTGCAGATTTATTGGATGATTAGATGTGATGGAAAGCCTGGAATAAACGCGGTGATCCAGTGGCGCATATTGAGTTAGGAAAATGGGCCGAGTGATTGCACCGCTCAGTGTGAATTCTTTGGCAAAAATATCAATGGTTTATAAACTTTTTCATTTAATTCCTTTCATGCAATAATCTTTGTTTTAATATCTTCTTTAATACCATTTCAGGCATTATGCGATAATCTTCTTATGTGTGTAGTACGCGCTTGGGATTTGAAAAACCTGCTTTTATTTTGCCCTGCTACGAATACACGCATGTATGATCATCCAATTACTTCGGACCAAATTAATAAACTAAAGTCTTGGGGCTACCACGAAATACCAAGTATAGCAAAGACTCTAACATGTGGTGATACTGGCAATGAGGCTAGGCCGAAGTCGACACTATTATAATAGAAATACTAAACAAACTTCAAAAATAAATAATATAATTTTTTAGTTAGAATTCAATTTTCTATCGAGTTCTTACTTGAAAGTCTCATCTACATCCTAAAGAGCCAACTTTACCGCGAATTGATCAATTATTTCGAACCTTATAACGTAGTGACAACGATTACATATATTTTGCAGACGTCACAAGAACACTTTTTATATTTTTTTTTTATTATCATTATAACACAATATATACAAATTAACACATACAAGGTGAGCCACACGTCTTCAACGATACTTAATATAATCAGAAACTGCCCATTATTAAGGAACCAATAATTATTATTAAGTTATATGCACATTTGTAGCAGGGAAATTTCATAATTGAGGCTGTTCATAATAATGTATGTTTGTTCATTCACTATGTAGTCGAACTTTGACTGTCCTGAAGTAATTCCTAGAAATTCATTTTTTAAATAAACAGCAAGAACATTAAAAAAATGAATTGATGAGGTGTACGATCGTGAGTTGATTCTATAGACTTTGCTTAAAGCTAAAATAGATAGGATTGGGTAAACTATGGTGCTATTGAAAGAAATATTAAACGATCTTAGAAAAGTGGAACTTTCATTTCTTAAGATCATCTTATAGACAAAGCATGTATCTGTAAACAGCGAAATTGTTGATTTCTCTGCTATTATATCGATTTGTAGCCAAGAACCATTAGGTTCATTTTTCGAATGGGTTCCGTTGTTATGGCAGATTTAAATGTGAACCATTTACAGACAGTTGTCACGTTTTTTTTAGACTCATCTGCAGTATTTTCTTTTTTTAACTCGTCTGCAGAATTTTTTGTCCAGACTCATCTGCAAAACGTCAGCTACGTGGCGTAGATAAGCCAGCAATTCAAGCTTCAATTCACGCAGCTTCGCGCAATGGAGCATAAGTTGAACGCAACTCCGTTTTCTAAACAGAAATTTGGGGGTTTTTGCTCATTACTCAGAAATTATGCAAGGTGAAGATAGATAAGACAAAATATTTAGAACTACTTTGTACATTTTTCAAATAGCTACATATTATCTGTCTAAAAATTCTACATCAATTCAAAAATAAATATGATGGATGCCACAAATCGGTGAATTAATCTTTTCTTAATTATATCAGCGATGTGGATATTAAATAAAAGGCCTTGGAGAGTAAAGGGCGACAAGTTAAGTGTGTTCATTCTAAACTAATTATGGTGGATGTCGCGCCGTGACAACGTACCGATTCGTGTTCATGAAACGGTGTAGTGTACTCATAGAGTTTGGGCGTTTACATATATATTGTCGTAGTTATAACACCTTTTCTACTTTCATTGTAATTAGGTTAAGCCTTTTATTGTACATATTGCGTGATTTAACTGAATCTTCAATGTATGGATAAATACATAAATAGGACCAAGAGAAAGCGTTTTCCTTGCCTCAACCAGGTTTTGAATTTGTAAGAATATCATGTATAACAGCAAGCAGGTTGGCTTACGTTTCGCAATAACTTTGTATTAATTTCTTGCTACTTTCCTAATTCTCTAATGGGTGCGTTAGGTCCAATAAATTAAAACAAAAAAGAAAAGAATAAAAAACCACCATACTTGCTACCTCTATAACTGTAAACGCAATTTCTTGTTCCTTGCTTACATGCTCCAGCAACTAACAAGTGAAACAACAAGCTTGCGAACGAACTTTGCGTTTATTGTTATTCAGTGTTTTGAAGAGTGCGTGTAACGGAATTGGAAATTACAAATCGTAACTCGTTACATTTATCAATATATTTTCTGTTTCCGAGTTTGTGTTATTCGATCTTTTGGGATTCGAAATAGATTGCTTAATTACGCTAAATTATAATTGTGTTCGTGTAACCCTGGCAAGCCTCCTATCAGTGAAAATAATAAAAAGCAGAGAAAGAAAATTTCTTGCTTTTAATAGGTTTCGTATCTTAAAAATTTTGATGAATTGCATTTAACTCCCTATGAATTGCACGGTTGTTAACTCGTAATGGCGACAATTTAGCTGGTAACTTATATAAAGACGCGAGTGGTTCTCGGTTTAAGGTATGAGTATTCCCGATTGTCAAATAGAGAATCCCAAACATAATGCATCTTCTTCCTTTTTAACTTACTTAGATTACTTACTTAGATTATAATTGAGCAATTAAGTAGGACGAAAACTTAAAACCTTTGTTCTACATCAAATTATCGATAAATATCTGTTTACTTTCGAAATACAAACAAGTAACTAATGAATGCTTCGAGCCGTGTAATTAATTGCCAAAAGGGATTATGCGATTATTGTCGTGCGGCTGAGAACAAAGCTTTTTGGTATACTTTGTTATTCGAGGTGCACAACACACATGTGGTTTCGTAAAAAAATTTATGAAAATAACTTGAAATTTCGTTTTATTTTTTACAAACAATATTTAAACACTATACATTGGTTGGTCATGTGAATTTGTTAAAAGTAATTACGCATTAAACAGAGGTACGCCGAATAATTTCTCCCACGACTGGGCGACAGCATTTAGGAAGCTATCAGCCAAGTCTTTAGTTTCGAAACTGCACCTCCAAAGTTCGCATTTGTTGTGCGTCTCATCCAGAAAATTTATCAATGCTATATTTTCAGTTGGACGTTCGATCTCTACAAGATTCGACATCAATTGCATAACACACAATTCAATGTCAGTGTCGTGTTCATTGTCCGCACAAAGCCACAACAGCTTATGAGACGTTAAATACAAACGCGAATCGGTCGCAAATAGACCACTTAATTGAAAACTGCGTTTCGCATTATCACAGGTTACATCGCAGCCATTCAAAAGGCAAAACATTTTTAATTGTTCATCTCCAACAACACACACAAGACTTTTTACCAATTTCTCAGCAGGTTGATATATTAAATCGCATTGAGCAGGTAAGGAGTTGTCTAGAGGGGTGTTTTTTTGGTTTAAAAATTTGGCACAGCTTTTTACTTTACTTTTTACTTACTTGCAAAATGTAACAATAAACTGTTTGTTCGTGAAATATCGTGCAGTAGCAACAGAAAACTGCCCCAATCTCTTAACTGAAATGCTAAGCCGATTTTCCAAGGTAGCAACTGTACCCGTTGTAGACGATCCACTGTACAACTCATTATTGGTCTTAACCATTTTTTTACGTCATCATTTTCCGAGGCATAAGCCTCCATTAAATAAAATTTACATGTAGACATTACCACTAAACCGTTGCATGTATTAGAGGATTGCTGACTATATATACGTCCTTTTACTGTCCATTTAAAGTGTTCATCTTTTTCTTCGAATTTTGTTTGATAGAAATATAACTTTAAACGGTGATCGATGTCATTGAAATCTGTATAATTAAATTTATAAGGTTGGCAACTACCATTGCTGCTACCCTTAGCGGCAGCATTTTCGGCGTCATTCAGCTTTTTGGAACTGCTCATTAATATATTAGTAGATTGAAAAAAAGCTGGAATATCATATACTTTGATTAAAAAGAACAGCCAGCTAAAATTTACGAGCCAGCCTAAAATTTAGGAACTTACCACCACATTTTGAGGATAACCCAATGCTTTCGTCTTTTTCAATAGCAAAGCCATCTGCTTCTTTTGTTAAAGTCAAATTATCAGAAAGTTGTGGTTTCGCGTCTAATTGTAAGAGCTCTTTCGTTTTATTAGCTGATTTTTGAGCTTGCTGTTCATAGGCAGTACATATACTATCGGTGAACGACCCAGAAGAGCTGCTTTCAGTAAGATTAACTTGACTCACAAAAGTTGTTTCCGGTTTAGCAATTTTTTTGACAATTAAATTTAGTCTTTCTTCCTCGTCTCTTTCATTCAAGAAATTTCCGACTTGTCTTTCAAAGGTAGATCTTGTATTGCTGAAATTATCTATCGCTTCTACGTGTGGAGCTTGACATATATGACGCTCTTCGGAGATTTTACGATTTCCATCTCTATCTAGGACCTCTATACTGGATTGGCTTGGATTTGATATAATATCTATATCACTTTCGCCATTTGTTTTTAAATTTTCAATTCTATTGTTATTATTAAGGTTCGTTGAGCTGTCTATAAAACAGGTCTGATTGGAATTAAGCGAACTGTCTGAATTGTTAGAAGTAATTTGTGAAATAGACGAAGATGCATTGAGAGAATTGGCAGAACCTAGAATGGAATGGTAAAAAAGAAAAAGCTGGAATTAATACTTTAAAGGATTATTAGAGAGAAGAAAAAAAGAAAAACCGATCGTTAATAAAATTTTAATGTTTTCGATATCCTACACTCGTAAGAGGTATATGTAAAACTTACACGAATATATGCAAAAAGCCTACAATAGCTTGAGATTGTCCCACGTTTTAGGGCACCAATCGAGTTAAAGTCATTTTCGCTCTGTCTGTTTACCTATTTTTGTGGGTCAATACACGTTCGACGAAATTTAGTGCACTATGTTTACGCTCAGGAATGAATGCCATTGAAGGCGAGTAGGCAAAAGCGCATTGTTCTGCAACTTTTCACATCCATAAGCCCCAATTTCAAAAAAAGATTATATAAAAACACACACACACACACAAATATACTGTTGTTAATGTGGACTACACAGGCTTGTTTTATCGGTCCCACTCTGCATAAGAGTTCTCATGAAAACTATGGCAACAAGGTATAATTTTTAATATTTTAAATAGCTGAAATACTGTATTAGGTGATGTAGAATATTTAAGAGTTGGCCTTGCCTCTCTTCTTTTCTCTCTTTTGTCTCTTTTTGTAAGATCAGTGTTCCTTTTTTTCCATAACTAAAAAAATGCAATAAAAAATGTCTTTAATATTATAAAAATTAGTGAGATTAACTTTTTGTGATTTGCTTCATGCTCCTATTGACCATTTGTGTGTGCTTAGCTGTAAACGTGCTTTTTCCTTTACCTTGCAGTAGCCAGTTTTAGTATATATTTTAGTACAGTGGTAAACGCATGAAAAAAAATATGGAAGAGGGATTAGATTTAAAATAAGAACGAACTTGCTAGTGTATGCAAAGTATGAATATAAACTATTTTTCTTACCTATGCTGTTGTCATCGTCAGTGGGTTCTTCGTTCGCAACTAAATAACTCTCTTGCTCCACGATTGGTGGTGTGATGAAAGCGTTAGGTAATTCTTTCACGATATCTGCCGCGGGTGATACCCTTTCCGTGTATTTTGGTTTGTCTAACGATTTGGACAATTCATCGATTTCTGCTACAAAAGTGCTTTTGCAATCAGGACAACGTATTTCTAAGGAAAATTAAGTTAGTACTTTTCATAAAACAAAGAAAACGAAAGGAGCCGCATATTCTTCAGCATAAATCGTCGCTTTTTATATCTGCTATATGTATGCTTCGTTTTTTGACAAAATTTGGAAATTAAAGAATTGCGAATTTAAGTAATATGAGACTGCTGACAGCAATGCTACTAACGCAGCAATTTAAATCGCGGTATACGTAGAAGTGGCACAAGGTATATGCGCATGTGCAGATGAATATGATGAATAGTGGATGGCGCAAATAAATATCAAAATTTGGTGAGACCCCAGTTCATATTCACGCTAGCTGATATTTTCAGCTAATTAACGCTATTTACTATTACTCAATACTTTTCGGATAGAAGCATTTAGTCGGTTATGCAGAAGCTACTATAAAGGTCAGAATAGTTTTTGTACTCAAAGGAATCGATACAAACTTCTCTAAAATTAATTCGAGCTAAAATCAGTTTCAGCTTTTTATCAATAGTGTCGTAAAGTTCTACGAGCTTCACCAGATGTTAAGAAATATATAAAAAGATTTTTTAGCTTTCTGTTTCAAGCACCAATTTGTTTTCGGTAGGCGCAAAAATTAAAAAAAAGCACCGTTTTTTTGGATGGAAATTGCTTCGATGAAGTTACATTCTAAATACAACCTTAATGTTTCATCTACGGTTTCTCTTGCAGGCATGAAACCCATGAATAAATATTTTTCACCAATAGTACATCCAGAAATCGTTGTTAAATCGTGAGTGGAATCTGGTAAATATTTTTTTGTAGACGAAAGTCTTTAAAGAAAAACAACCGAAAATTGGCGTGCTATATGTCACGTGGCCTCGTCTTATTGAAATCACACGTTGTTTAAATCACCGGCCGGTAACGCCACCAGCCCATAAACTACACTAAAAAGTTTTATTATTCCATTCTAAACATTTTCAATAGTATTGTATATATATTCAAACTAACATTCGCCAATTTAAACTTGCAGACAATCCCAATGGTTGAAAACACCGATAAAGTCCAGTCTAAAGCAACACTTGACTCAACCATGTTTTCGTTAGTTCGGGCATTTTTACCTTATTGATAGAGTAACATAGCACACTCGAAATTGTTCACAATACAGCGAATAGTGGAAATCATTGGACGATAAATTGTCAAAAGTGCACGAGAAGTTAAAATATGAGAACGAAAAGTTTCGGTAATTTTCTAAGATGGCTGAGCCATAGAACTTTTCATTAAGGAACAGCACACTTTCTGGAATCCAACTTGCAATGATAAAATGGGTTTGATGTAATTCCCGTTAATAAAAGCCATCATAAGGGCCACGTCTTGTTTTTAAAGCAGTATTAAACAGACTTTGCTAGTTCCTTACATCCGTTAAGAATTTTTTACAATAATCTAGATGACGTTTCATAAATAAGCTCGGACAAAAGGTAGCATAGGACAGCATTCTCCGTTAAATAATGTGATATCTCATAGCCTTCGTTTCAAATTAATCGCTTGCGGGACTTCGATTATTAAAACCAAATATTAACGTAAATAATTGATTGCAATTTCTATTTGCCTAATAATTGTCCAATTACAAAGTAAAGATACTATTATGGTACTAATTACTTGTTATTTAAAAGAAAAATGTATTACCAAGCTTACCTTGAAATTTATTTGATTTTTTACCCTCCTGTGAGAATTGACAGTTACAATTTACACAGCGATAAACAGTTTGATTCATTTCATATAAATCTCGTTGCGACAGAATGAATCTTAGTTTTTTCTCCAATTCCTGGCACAAATCTTCTTCTACAGTGTAAACGCGCTCCTGTTTATCTTTTTTTACGGTATCAAAATTAATGCGTAAAGTATTTGATTTAAGACGATCGCACGACTCCAAAATCTTTAAACTCCACTTGGTTTTAGTTCTATAAAGTAGGAGATTGTTTTTTTTTTCAGAGAGCACAAAAAAATTAAAATATACCTTTCTGTCAAAGGATCTCTTTCACGTAAAAAATTGGAAGACTTTGTTAAAAATATAGCATCTTTATTGTCCGACGTGTACACAATATAAGTTTCTTCATCTTCTTCGGGCTCAGAACCTTTAAATATTTTTAGCTCAATTTATAGTAGCTTGAGATTTTCAATTTTAGTGCTTACTTTCAGATTCATTATTTTCCACGGAAGAATAAATGTTAATTATTGTTCCACTCTTATTGAATCTTATTGGTGAATTATTATCTCCACATTCGCTTTCGTTAGTTTCATGCCTTTCTATTGACTGATGAAGGGTTTCTGTTTTACTTTCATTAACTGCACTTTGTTCAATATTTTCATATAATGATGCTTCTTGATTGTCGATGGTCTGCATGATTTTTATAGGTGATATAGATGACGTTAAATTGTTATTTGAAATTGTTAATATTGGGGTGGAGTTGTGAATAGCAATAGCTTGATTGTCTTCTGTTATTGTGACATTTTGTAGAAGTTCGCTGAATAATTTCCGCGCTGTATGTCGTTCTACATTAATATTTGAAAAAGTATTAGAAGGTTCGATCCCCATTGCACTATTTATCATTTCAGCATTGTCTGCTTGTAACCATTCGTTCCCATATTTTTTTCTTAGCGTCTCGATGTGACGTTTGGTGTCTAAATATTCTTGATTTTGTTTCTCATCAATAATTAAAGGCTGACTTATATTCTTAGCTTCAACAAGTCTTTGTAAATCACTTGTTTCATCTACTAAATCATATGATGAATTGTCCTCAAATTCTACCGTTCTAGTTTTGTTGACCTTTTTCTTAAGAGGTATAACTTTGGTTTCTATCGTTGCGCTTAGATCTTCAGAAGCCGAACCGTTTTCGCTTAATTTAAATGATCGTAATGAACCTATACTCGACGCGGGAGTTTTTTCTGCATTCGAAGATAAACGGCTTGGCGTGTTTATGCCCGAAGAGGAAGATCGTACAATAAAACGATTGAATACTCCTAATTTTCGAATTTTTTGCGTTCCTGTTACAGATTTTTCATTTTTTGTTAAGGGCTCATAGTCCAGAATGAACTTAACGCTAGCGCAATTCTTATGAAGATACTGTGCCGTAGCCAAACGATGTTTGGGATGGTAGTGTAGAGGATTACCATACAAATTAAGAAATTTTAATGTTATCAAAGCACTTAGCGTCGATAAGTACGAATGATCTAATAAGCAGTTGTCTGATAAATCCAATTCCGTTAAAGCATCCAATCTAACAATACCCGTCAATTCTTCTACTAAGTTATTACTCATGTTTAGTGTTTGCAAGCGTTTGTAAGCGTCCATGTGAAATTGTGGAATTTGCGTAAGGCGATTGAAACTTAAATCTAAAGTTTTTAGATTAGGCAACCATTTGATAGCCTTAACACTAAATAATTGATTGTGCCGTAAATTTAAATGTTGCAAAAATTGGGCAAATTCTAACGAAGTATCCACTGTTTGCAGTTGATTATAACTAAAATCCGCGGATTTCAATTCATTCCATACAAAACCGTTAGAATTGTCACCACCACAATTTGTTATGATATCGTCAACAGTCTGCAGACTTTTGTTACAAATTAAATATTCTAGCTGGGCACGTAATGGTTGTATGCCCACAATTTGATGTATATGTATTTTTTGAACTTCTAAGCGTTTCAGAGCCCGAAATTTCTTAATATCAATATTGCCTGGAAAATATTCTTCACGTGGATAATGTACAATGCATAATTGTGGAGTTTTCTGCACGAAATCGTAAATCAATTGAAGATCACGAAAAACGGATGACTTTGAATTGATAGTCTTAAGTACTTGAAAGTTTTTAGCATCTCCACATTCCATAGAATCGACTATCAAAGTGAAAGAATCATTTAGAGCGCGTAATATGGAACCTAGACGAAGAAAGAAAAAAATTTTTTCGATTAGAGAACTTTTCAGTTTAGAGAACTTTTTCACCTGATAGGGTTAAAGCAAATTCGGAATTCAAGATTTTATCTCCATTACTTTTTAACAATTTGGCTAATTCCACTATTTGTTGTGGATCCATTTTCTATGCGCAGATTACGTTTTTAACTCAAAGAAAGAGATTGATAAACGAAATTACGGATCGCATCTATAAACATGCCTGTATATATGCACAAAATAGTATTTAAAGTCTGTTAATGTCATAATAATAAGTCAAAAAGTTTAATTAAATGATGACGCGTTGTTGTTTTTTATTTATAAAACATTATATTATGTGTTTGTAGATAAATACATACGAAAGGCCTGCTCATATGACGTGTCCAACACTAACTTTTATAAATTTTCGCAACCTTTTGTTGAATTAATATAAAATATTGATGCACTTTTATTTCGATTCATTTGTTGTTTTTCTTTACTCGTATATTTTTCTTAACATTTTTATTTTTATTTTAAAAGTTCAACCATTCATTAGACAAATCTGATTCTTTTTTTGGGAAATATTCGCAATGGTGTTTGTCTTTATTAATAATAACAAATAGTAGGAATTTTCTTTAATATGTTCGTCTTTTAGTGCTTTGTTTTTTTTAAAGAAAAATCTTACAATGCAATCAGCTGCCAAAAGTTTCATAATGTGCGCAGTGTTGCATCGCAATTATTCATTTAATAAGAAACGATGTTGTAGAGCTTTAAAAATTAGTGTTATTATATAGGGCTTGATATATAAAATGATATTTTTCATAATTAATCTGATACTACTTACGGCCATTTCTTGCTTTATATGCTATTATTTAATTTTTTATTTTTCTCTATTCTCTTTGTAGCTGATGAACCAATTCGTACCTTTTATTTCCTACTTCAAACCCCTCTAGATAAATATATATTGCTACTTATCTTATACGCAAGAGCTTGCTTGTAATATACACCTATTAGCCCAAGGAAGGGCTAATATATTGGAAGTTATCTTACTTCTAAAATTTATTCCTCAAATTATAATAAAAATTTTTTAAATTTCAGATGAGCAGAAGTTATAGGACAGACAAATAAACGGTTACAAATTGATTAGTAATTACTTAAGGTTAAGTACGACATAGGTAAATCGCGCGTATTAACCAATGTTGCTTTAATGGACTTTAAAGAGTCCAAAAATGAGAATAAGTGATAGACGTCATTTAGGTTCTTGCAAATAACTCTGAGCGGATTAAAGAGCTCATAATTATATTTACATTGACTAAGCTTAACCACGATAAAGTGCCTCGAGAAGCGATTAGGGACATTAAAGCTTATTTCACCAAGTAATCAAGGCGAGTCAATAGCACCATTTATTACTTCGATTAAAAAGGAAACCCCAAGAACGTTTTTCAAGTGATGGTAAGGATAGTAGAAGCAACCTATTTTTATAAGAAGAGAGGCAATCGTGTCTCAACCCAACTTCCTAAGGGCAAACAGCAAGAATTGCTTTTGAACAGATTCAATTGAATCTACATAGCACCTATATGAAGGAGACCACACAACAGAGGCATACTCGACCAAACCAAACACATGTACAGCCTTTTCGTAATGCTCTTTGGACCACCCATTAATAAAACCAAGCGCGGACCTAGCTTTGCTTATCGAGAGGACTATATGCAAGTTAAGACGTAGCCTGTGGTTAAATAGAACGCCTAAATTTGTGATCGAATCGACGTCCTCCAACTTATGCAAATCTATGGAACACTGAGTAATGAACGACTTTCTTCTTGAGAAAGAAGAAGCCAGAGGCTTGGGGTTTAAAAATAAGTGAGTTATGGTTAACCATATCAAACGCTTTGCTTAAATCAGTATATGTAACATCTGTGCGAGAGGCACTAGAAAAAGCCTTGAAAACATGACAAGTAAACTCTAACAAGTTGGTGACTGTAGATCGCCCTTTCCGAAAGCCGTGCTGGTGTGGAGAAATATACGAATTAATGGCAAAGGCCAAATGCTGAGTCACAATTCGCTCGAACAATTTAGGCAAGACACTCAACTTGGCTATGCTTTGTAGTACTCAACAAATTGTCTACTTCCATTTTTGTGGATAGGAATAAGGAAACTACTCTTCCAACACGAAGGGAAAACACCTAAATTCAAGGGCTTGTTAAAAATTTTTGAGATCACACCATATAACTCGACAGCGCAAGATTTAAGTACATATGATGGAATTCCATTAGCTCCAGGCACACAACTACATTTTAGAGAGCTCAAGCCTTTAAAAACGTCATCTTCTGAAATTACTAAGTTAGGAATTGAGACAGAGTTAGTTATAGGAAGTGGGTAGTTTGCAGATAAATCGGAATTAGCAGTCGAAAAGTTTCGACGGAAGTACTCAGCGAACAGATTTGAGATTTCAAAATCATCCGAGCAATCAGAGCCATTAAAAGAAACATGAGAGGGATATGTGGAAATTTTTTTTTAGAGTTAACAAATTTAAAAAAGTACTTAGGATTAGCAAACAGAGAGGATTTAATGAACTGAAGGTACCTGCAATGGTGGTTGAGGATGTTAAATCTCTGCCGAGTAAGCGAAATAGTCGAGCGCAGAGCTACTTTTCGATTATTTTTTGAATAGCGTGTTTTTTCTATTCTTGTAATATTTAATTGTCTTATTAAGCCACGGGAGACACCTGCTTTGAGGTCGACACTTGCAATAGCTAGATTTAATGTATTGTAAAACGATGACAATAAGCTTTCAATACTACCAGTTGAGAAATCACGCCTCAAATGTGAAAGACAATGTTTTAGCAATACAAAATTGATTTTATGAAAATCATAATATTTATTTAAAAAAGTTTGATTTATTTTCCTCTTTATTATTTTTAGACGATGGCGCTTGATTAAAATGAGTGGCGGCTCTGGGCGGAGATAGCCTTACCACTTCAGCGTACCTTAAAACAGAAGGAATTCCCGGCTTGTTGGTAACTATTTTGTTACCGACCGACTCAACAATACCGGAAACATTAATGTTCATTTTAGAGTTAGGGGGAGCGGTTACTTGTACCAACGAATCAGATTTAGAGGAACTCAGAGGTGAAGTCCCACACGCTACGCTACGAGTTGTTATTTTTCTGGCTTGGCTAGAAGATGAGTGCTCAATAAAACGACACTCATCAAACCTAGACTTAATTAGCTCAAACTTCTCCCACAAGGAGCCGAGATTTCTACTCAATTCTAAGAAACCTTTCCTCGTCTCCATCTTAAGCCTTTAGAAGGGTCAGCGACTGCGTCGGCAGCATGGGCGAGCATACCGGCACACTTTGCATGACCAAAGCGCTCGCACAGCCAACAAGAAACGAATCCATCCGATTCCGGGGCTGTTTTTGCGCGACGTGGTGTATATAAGCACTCATGTCAAGTCAACAAAAAGAAAGAAGTGAATTATTAGGACATAAAAGAACAAATTCAAAAGAATCCACAGCAATAAATTAATGTACACATTTAAGAAATTTAAAAGAACTTCTCTGTTACGTTGTCACTGTAACAAGAGAGTAAAAGAACAAGAGAATGTAAAACCAAACTGGAAGCACGAAAAAAAGGAGAATAAATATCAGAAAAATTATCTCTTAAATTACACGTAAAATTTACACTACTGAAGCAACGGTAAACAATCCAAGAGAAAAGCCATTAACACCAAAGGAAGAAAAAAAACAAAAAAAACTCGAAAAAGATTTACTATTGCGAAATCACAAAATTTAATGTAATTAATGTAATTCTTACACTTTTACACTTTTAATACTTTTATATTTTTACAAATACTTAGCTTTAAACGCGTATAAAACGATAAGAAAAATTTAAGCAATACAACCATCAAAAGCATACGATCTCGCGCGTCAGTTGCCTTTAAATCGCATAATATTATATTAAAATTTTACTTTGTATTCTCCATTATTTTATAAGAAATGAAAAACAAGCAATAAGGGCATTTACTTCCAGCTTTAAATACATTTGTCCCAACAAAACATTCAAGTGAAATCAATGGTGCTTCTTCCTTTAAAGTTATTTTTGTTCATTCTTTATTTCTATTGTATTTTTGTTACTGTCTGTAGTTTTACTTCTCAAATCATATGTTTCTGGTTATATTTACTTCGACTTCTTAATTGTCTCTTATAAAATAATATGACAGCACAGCTTCTCATTGTCTTTACCACTTGCCTTTTTTTAGCCTGAAAACTGAATAAGGGATCATTGGGAGCTGACAGGATGAGCACGTTATTCCTATTCTCGGGTTGGAAATTGGTAAATCATATGGTTTTGCATGTATATATACAAATGAAAGGAAAAATCGCAAGAAGAAGTTACGATCGTCTCTTTGAAATTTTAAAGATATTTATCTAGTTTATGCTTATCTTAACACTAACATACATTTTTTCTATTATGCGATTTGCAATTTTGGTTTATATCATGCTTGATTTTGTCAGAAATAAAAACAAGCAATAAAGACTATTTCAAAGTCAAAATATATCCACTAGACTGTTTTATTAGAGAGTGATAAATGGCAATTTCCAAATTATGGGACAAATAATACACACGGTGACGTCGCAAAATTTAAGCAGAAGATTAGGAAAATTAACAAAATTTATATTATCTATAAATTTGCCATTTACGTTTACATTAATTTATTTATTTTTGATTTTAAAAGCATACGTTTTTTTTTACATTTTCAAGTAAAACAACATAGTAGAACGGCTACCCATTGTGTTTACCACTTGAGAGCTTTTTAACTCTGAAACAAAAATGATGTCTCGTTTTGTGTTATGCCCTCAATTTGTACATATTTAATATTTTTCACTTACCTTATAACCTTTGATTTATGTCAAAGAAATTCATTCACTCATCATACTTTTGAACTGAATAAATTCTTATTGATGGAGCAATAAATTCGATTTGCATAAATCGTTTACATTGATTGACAGACACAGTTTTTCTATTAAACAGGGCTACTTTAGTTGCATGAATTGTATGAATGTCATGAAATAACTACGAACCTATGTTGTTTTTATTGATGTCAAAATTAGTAGCAATGAATTCTGATAGTTAAAATAAGTATAGGAGTTAAAAAAAACATACTGCAACAAATAATACTTGTAGTCAGTTTGATCGGCGCAATCTGAATAATATAACGAAGACTAAATTGAATGTTTTTTCCGATAGGCTGTATAGAATTGATTGATTAACTTTGCAAAAGGTGTATCTTAGGGGTCTCGGCTGATATTTAAAACCCAAATGTGGCTCACCTAATGTAAATGATTTCGTTTTAAGGTAACTCTGCGCAAAATATTTTCTTAAGAAAATGAAGGAGTGCTTACGAAAATGTGAGGAAAATCGCTTTAAAAGGATTATCTTTAAATTTCGATGTAATAGATGCATAATGTCCAAGGACTTACCGGGGTTGTATAGCACCTTTTTTACTAATTTTCTATTTTCTGATCATATAACATGGAAAGTTTCTTACTTTCAATTAAATTAAAACACTTTTTATGTCAGTTGTCGCTTCGATATTGTACTTAACAGTAAAGTAAAACAAAATTATAGATATTTGTATTTTGTTGTTGTTATGGATAGATTTTCAAACAACTTTGTTAAATCAATGGAAAAAATTTTAAGTAGATACGAATATGACAAATAGAATATTTTCCAAGTAGACTTTTACTTTTATTATATAAATTTTTGAAAGCAATTAAAAAACCAGAGAAAAAATCAACCAAAAACCTGCAAAGGAAAACTAATTTCCAAGAGAACAAGAAAAAAGATTCAGCAAAAAAAAGTAATTGTGTTTGAAAGAAAAAATCTTATAAAAATGGCACAATCCTCCGTTAAATCCAAAGAGTATAAAGAGATAACGGGTTTACATCGTATAACCCAGAAACGTATAAAGGAATTGTGTAAAAAAGATCGACTCTACCAAACACCTAAATTAAACGATGTCCTCTATTTGCATTATCAAGGTGATCCTTAAACAAGACAATATTATCAATCACTTTTTACACCATTTTTTAGGTTTTCAGGGCATCGAGTGTCTAGAGGAGTATACCGAACTAAAATGTCTTTGGCTGGAATGCAACGCGATTTCTGAAATTCAAGGGCTTGAAAATCAGTCAAAATTGAAATGTTTATTTTTACAGAGCAATCTCATCCAACGAATCGAAAATTTGGATTTTTGTAAAGAATTAGACACACTGAATCTATCACAAAATCATATACGTAAAATCGAAAACTGTAGTTCGAATATTTTGCCTATATTGAATACCTTAAATCTGTCATCGAACTATATTAGGGATTCAGAAGGTTTAAGAGAATTGGAACACTGTCAAACCTTGTCTGTATTGGACTTGTCGAATAATCGTATTGACGATATATTAGTGGTGAAGGTGAAGAGAGGGTGTCAATGAAGAGAAAATTTATTATTCTACAATTTTTTGTTTTTAGGTTTTTTCTAAAATGCCCGAGCTTAAGGTATTGGTACTGCAAGGAAATCCAGTAATATCAAAAATACCCCAATATCGTAAAACGTTAATATTGGAATGTGTAAGTGTTGTAGTTGCTTACTAGCACAGCTTTTATAAGTATTTTAATTTCAGGCAAAATTAACTTATCTCGATAGCCGCCCGGTTTTTCCTAAGGATAGAGCATGTGCTGAAGCTTGGTAAATACAGAATTTAAATCATATATAAAATTGCAGAGACTGTTTACTGTTCATTTTTTAAGCAGTTTTTGTAGTGGGGCTTATAAACACAATTCTACTCTTTCTAGTAATCCATTCAAGCAAGCAATGCAATTTTATTCAATGTTTGACGGAGTTTACGATGTTTTAGGCCTTGTAAAATTGTTGCGGCGCAAAAGCAGCGATAGTTTTTGCAAAACAAGGCTGCATATAATGTTTCCTCATACGCTGGACGTTAAGTAAAAGTCCTTAAGGAAAGAGTTTCGGTCCTTAATATTGCGTTGTTAGCATTACTCTCTCACATGTTATCAAACGAAATTTGCTAAATTCTGCTCCATTTTCTCTTTTTTTTGTTTTGATTGTCTATACCTGTCGCAGGCAAAATGTCGTAGGTTAAATATGTCACGTTTTCATTTGCAATTCCGTCAAAGACATTATATTATGACCTGCGTGAGATTCAACCGTCTTTTCAATTAAAAAAATTTGAAAAATTCAAAATATATGCTTTCGAACCATTTCTACAAATCAACTTTGATTAGCCTCCATCCGTCGCGAATGGTCTCAGTCGGACCATAGATAGTTCTTGGAGTTTTGTCTATATCCGAGTGCACCTTTTTTGCCTAATGCGTTTAATTTTTGTTTGAAGGAAACGAGGTGGATACGAAGAAGAACGTAAGGAAAATATGCGTTGGAATCGCAAGGAACGTAAGAAGATTACAGACAGCGTGAACGGTAACGGGGTTTCTCTCTCAAATTTATTATTCCTAAATTATCATTGTTTTTTGAAATTAAATTTCATTGTTAGCCACCATACGTATGCGCAATAAATTTCGTAAAGCTGACGACCAACTGGAGTTAATACCGTCTTCCGATTCCGAAGATGATGCTACAAATGAAGCCAAACGGCGACAACGAGCGAAATTAGATTTCGGGGTTAGCATGGAATTAGGCTTGTGGGACGAAGTGGCTGAAACATTCCATTCCGGAAGTTCATCTTCTTCTGATATGAATGCGAGTTCATCAACATCGGTGATAAGCACAACGGATTCGAATGGAGGGCAAGAATCTTCGTATGACAGAACCAATAAATCATTGGAGATATTTAAAAATATGAACTCCGAAAAGAAGATTTTAAATGATGCGGGTGAAACGGACGCCAAAATATTGCATGTGGACGAAAGTGGCCATATAGGCGAAGCATTGAAATACGTATCAGAAGAAAATTGCGTCATTGAAAATAGGGAATCTGAGAAGGTAGCCGAACTGACAGATAATTTGAAAGCTAAAATTTCTGACTCTAGTTCGGACACTGATGACGAATATAAATCTCAGTTCAGTGAAACCGTGGATGCTATAAATCGTGTCACTACCGCTATGAATAATTTATCTCGGATTGACAAAATGGGCGGCAATTTTAAAAAGTGGGTCCGTTTACAAATAGACACTGGTGAGCGCAATAAAGAGGAAGAAGGTGAAAATGACGAGAATTGCGAACCATTAAAAGCTATGGATGATCTGATGAACACATTATCGGAACCAATTTCTCATGTAATTACAGAAGACAATTCATCAATACTCACGGCTAAAACCAAAGCAGAAGTGGAGTACGAAAGAGAATGCGCAGCAATTAACAAGGTGGTGGAAAAAAATTTTGAAGAGCTGTCTACCGACATGGACCTATATATGATTGAAATGCATAAAGATCGCAATGAAAGAGAATTAACCAAGCATGCTATATTTAACCGAGTTTGTACAAACGATGAAAAGGAAAGTAGCAGCAATGACAGTAGCATCCAAGAAATGGAAGAAGAGATGGAAGATGTTAGAATTCAACGTATGGTAGAAGAGTGGGATAAGGAGACGCGAGTAATCGTGAGCAAAAGTGTTCCCAGAAAATCGAAACCTAAAACTATTCCCGAAATTTGGTTGAATGATAAACCAGTTACAGATAATTTAATAAAAGAGGAAGAGACAAGTATGAAAACACGATTTTCGTCGCAAGAAGAAACTATGCCAATTATCGAACGTAAAACTGGGCTGAACCAAGATCAAGGAAGAATTATTTTTGAATATGACGGTATCTACGAAAGTCTTAAGGCTTTGAAAGAAGAGCGTGAATCTTCAATAGACGCTGTCGAAGAATTAGCAGCTGTAAAAGAATTGAGAAACAGCAAAGAACGACTACAAATATCAGAAATTGTTGATTGCAACCAATTGAACGTAAGCAAAGATGGAGAAGGCGAAGCGCAAAAAGGGGGACAAAAACTATTACAACTTGTCAAAGAAAAGAAATCGGTAGGAACTATTTCAAATAATTGCAATGCAGAGTTAACTGTACCAAGAGACATGCCTAAGAAATCTAAATCGTCTCTTCCGGCTAATTTTGAATACGAAACCTTTGAAGCTTCTTATCTGTTATCAAAATCGAAAGAACCATTAAAAGCGTTCGAAGAGGAGACTAGAGGCTTGAAAAGGATTTTGCAGCAACTGGAAGATGAGAATGAAACACGATTTGAAAGTAACTTCGAACTTATTTCAATTACTGAAGGGAAAATCACTGAGCAGGAAGAGGAGAATGCTGAGACGAATAGCATGAATCAAGAAAGATCAGAAATCGACATCGAATTTATTTCAAATAGTAAAGACAGAGTCTCGGAAAAAGAAGAAAGCAAGAAAAAAGTAGACCGAGTCGATCGAGAGATGTCTATTAATAGACAACAGAATTCCGCATTGTGTTTGAAAGTTTTACACGATATTATTCACTCTTTAGACTTGAAACGTGCTAAACCTAAGAGCTATGAATTCGGAGTTATAGAATCTGACGATGAGTATAGCTACAGTGGGCCTAAGAAGGTAGAAGTAGAAATACCTTCTGGCAAAACTATAAGAGGTGTTACAAGCTCCTTCAATGTCTTCTTTCACGAGTTTACTACGCGAAAACCTGAAGAAATAAGACAAGAGTATATGAGCCGTAAAAGAAGGGGACTAGTGACTTCGACAGACGAACAGAAAACTACCAGTTTACGGGAGCTATTGCAGGTACCCAATATCAAAAACTTTAATAAAGAGACTCAAGAATCATTGGATGCTCAATTGAAAGCCTATGAAGAGAAAAAGAATGCACGAGTGAAGCGGATGGTGCAACGCGTGTACGCTCAAAAAGAAAAATATAATGATAGTCTGGAAGTTGTAGGAGGTAAATTGATGGTGCTTAAAAAGGATACAGGGACACTCGAAAACTTACCGAAGCCCTTAGGTGAAGTGGTTGAGAGCGATTCTGATGAAGAAAACGAGCTAGATTATGAAAGAGCACAATTGGATGATAGTAATAAAAGAAAAACTTTGCAAATATACAAAGACTGTAATTCTGGGATAAAATCTCAAAGCTCGATTTGCAGTAATAGTCTACTCTGGTATAAACCAAGACAAAGGAAATCTGCTGAGCATTTAGTAACGCAAGCAAGCAAATTCAATTTTGTAAAGAAAGGAGATGGTGATGGGAATAAAGGGAATGATGATGACGATGATAAGAGTGAAGAATACCAATCTCTGGACAGCAAGCCCAAGGGGGTTTTTTTCGGACACATTGATGAAGAATTCTTTAATAAATTAGATTTCGAAAACATAGAATTTAATGAACAAGATGAGCAACGTGTCGTGCAGTGTGCTCGGAGTTACGATGAGCTAAGAAAATTCGTAAAGTTAAACAAGGATGAGCGCCATCTAAGCGAAGAAGAAAACGATTTATTAGAAAAAATGATTGCACGTCAGGCTGAAAAACCTGGCTGTAGCGATGCAGTCTTGCCATCAGATGAGAATCTCACTCAAAAGGAAGATTTGTTATTGAAGAAAATGCTAGAAAGGACCAAAGAATTACTAGAGAAAGAAGACTATGACAAAAACGCAAGGGGAGATTGCAAAGAACATTTTGATGTACGCATACAGAGAGTTTCGCATTTTAGTAGTCAAGAATCTATTAAATTGTATGAGTATAAATTTGAAAATTCTCTGCAAGAAAGAACATCGACGATATTTGAGAAAAATTTCCGGAATAGGGAAGATATTGCAGAACCTGAATTTTCTGGCACCGATTTTTATACATTTGTCTATCAAGGCAAAGAAGACGGCGACGAAGAACAAAATCTTCTATCAGATAAAAAAGGAGAAAAATCTGCAACTCAATTGTCTGCCCTTAGTGAGGAACTGGCATTAGAAAAGTCTAGTGAAGAGGAGAAAAACGAATTAGAAAACAATTTTGATAAGGAAGCCAAATATGTCATAAAAAAATGCGATCGACGTATTGAAGACAAGGACACAGATAGCAAAGTACAGGACTATAGTGGCGGCTTTCATCAACTTATTGATGATCTGGAAGAATTTGAAAACATTGAAATTAAAAGCGATGATAAACTGAATGAAATGAAATTCAAAAAACTTGAAATCGATATTCAAAACCAAAAAAATAGAATACAAAATTTGCAAAAAAAGTTTGGAGTAAACAAAATAACTCACTGTCAAGTCGAGCAAATTGAAGAAAAGAGAAACTGTCTATATAATCAGGTTAAACAGGAAAAAACAACATGTCTTTATAACGGAAACTCTGAACATCAAAATATACGTTCAGACGAGGATGTAGAAAAGGCAATTGAAGAAGTAACAAACTGTCAATTCGCGGCAGAGGATCCAAAAGAAAAAGTCGTATATGAAAAACACAATACTGCAGAGATTATTAAAGAAGCTCAACGAAAGGCAAAATTTTCTTTAAATATAGATGGGGCAGAAAATGTCCATGAAGCATGGCTTTCACCAATGATTGCGGATGTATGTGGAAGCAATTTCAAAGGAGTTATTAAAGATTCGATATGTGTTTCTCAACATTGCGCTACAAAAAACAATTGCTCATTAACCATACCATTAGGAGAATCCCTTGCAGTTGGCGAAATTCCCCAGGTTGTTCGGGATAAAATGCATGTATTTCCTGCATACGATTGTTTTCAAACAAAAGTAGCAGCGGATGAAAATGAAGTTTTATTCGGGGAAAATACTGAAGGCTCAAATGTCGCAATAATTTATTATCCGACAGGTAAGGATATTTTTAGGCATAACGAAATTAATATCTATAAGCGTAACATTTTCAGGTACTCAAGAATTGTCTACCGCATCAGAGACTATTAATCGCGATGATGCGGCTCATGTCCAAGAAGACAAAGCAGATAGAAAAGTGGAGCTCAAAGAAATCGATGAAGTGGAAGAAAAGGAACCCAATGGGCTTGAAAAAACGCTTTGCAATACTCCTCTTCCAAGAAACATATTGGAATGCACTCTTGAAATGTTAAATGACGACAATGGGGAAGTTATTGATAGCGTTACTGTTAGCGCTGAGATTAATCAACTTTAAATATCGATTATCTGGAACATATTTTTTGCCTAGAACACTTTGTCACTATATTTTCTTAATGTCATTTTGTAAACGAATAAATTTAATTAATTCTTTGTAAACATATTTCAAGAAGCATCTGTTGTGTCCGCTGTGAGTAATCTTATCAACAAGTAGATGCCTTATATGCAATAAAGTTCACAATTCGCTCCGCAGCTGAAACCGGTTTCACAACCAGTATATAAATACATAAACCGATGTTGCAATCATCGTATAATAATTGCTTTGCTTTTTCATAGTTGTACATTGTCCGGTTATAATCCATCATTGGCTTGTTAGTGCTTATCAAATCAATGTAGTACATCCGAGAACCAGTTTCAACCGGCTGTGTAAAACCTTTTCTCGGTGTAGAAAGTGCAGGTTATATTAGTGTTGGAATATCATATGCGAAATTCTGAAAATTTGCTTAGCAACTATTGTTCATTATATGTCTTCTTGATTGATATGTCCAACTATGCTTTTTCACTCCTATTTGCAGTTACGCCAAAAAAAGCTAAAAAGTGTGACATATGCACGCTTAAATACCTGCGTGGATGCAATTGGAACATGCATCGACGTTTTTAGTGAATACGACCATAACCAACAGTTATAAAAACAACTGTACGTGCGAATAAGATCTCAATTGCTTAATGCGGTCGAAATAATTGTAGGTAATGCCTGATTCGGCCAAATTTGAACATAATTCTCCTCCTATTTGTCGTTTTTCATATTTATCGCGCATTGGGGTTACCAAAGGTCTACCGTTTCTTATTTATATATTTTAGGTCGTTTAGAATACTTTCTGTTTTCTCTTGAGATGATAATAATTCAGTTTTTAGTGCTATAGTTCTTTACCATTTGTTCTAATTGTTAATTTAAGGGTAACGGCAATGCACATTTTTCAGAACAATTTTTTTATTGGGTTAATAGATGCTTCGAATCTTCTAGAATATGGAGAAAAAATTCATTACCTGATATTTGCAAAGTAAAGCTACGTAAATGCAGCATCGTCTTGACGCAAAGAAGGCACGAGGTTGAGAGCGAATTGAGGAAATGGAAATGTTTGTGAAAAGTTTGCAATGAAGTTTTTAATGTTAGTTAGCATATCACAGAGCGTGTCGCGCCTGACACATAGCGCGCATACCACATACGTCTTTCGTAGGGGCAACAATTTCGAGCAAAAAATCTTCAAGGAAAGAGAATGAAGCGGAAGGAGCATCGAGGGTACTTTTAAGGTGCTGGGATTGTAAAATATGAATTTCAAGATGGCATGTAGCCTAGTCTCTATAATCTTCATTATTTTACTCCGATCTTTTCATAGCTACATGAATTACATAATTCACGTTCATCATGGAATCTCCCATGCATATTTGTTTGTGCTATAAAAATGAGTCATCTTATCTATCTATTATAATATATCTTCCATGGTAATATATGCAGTTGTGTCCATGAAGTTGCGGTCAGATTGTATCGATACAATATATATTTTTATTTTTTATTTATTTATCTATGATATCGCTTCCCAGATTTATCTAATCCTTCTACTCTACCATTAAATATCACACGTTAGACGTTTACCCATAAATGATGATATTTCGTGGAAAACTTTATATGGGAAACTTTATTATGGGGATGTTCAAGGATGCGAGAAATTTACGTTACGTTAGCGAATTTCAAAAGAACTTGTTTGAACTTAATCAATGAAGAGCTTCAGGTTCCTTTACCTTATAGGCGCTATTTTGTAAGTTATATTAATTTGAAAATTTCTTTGCAACTAAAGGGTGAGAATATCTCATATTTCCATATAAAAATGTCTTGAAGTTTAGGCCGACTAATTCAACAATAAAACTAACATTGTTTCGCCTCGATTTTGACGCGCTCCTAAATTTTCTGGCGGTTGAATGTAAAAGTTTATTCACAACAAACTTGTCGTGTATTAAAAGCAACATTTGATTGATCGTTAAAAAGTTGTCGACACTTCGAATATTACCAAAAGGAATGCGTTTCATCTTTTGGTTGGTCAATGGAGATTACTGTGAAGTTTTTAACAATAGCTGAGAAGATGGCAGTTCTTCAATTTATGAGTGTGAAAGCATGTTGCTTAGTCATCTCGACTCTTCTTTCTTTATATTTTTTTAAATTCTTCTTGTCGCGATAATTGAACGTTCTCTTGACGTAGCATTGTTCGCCAAACGTCTTCCTGGAAATGCAACAATAGGAAAGAAATATGCGACGAAGACTAATTCTTCACTGCAGCAATGCGAGTTCTCATTCATTGGTGTAAATTGGTGCCTTTGTTAGTGTTCCAAACGCTTCCAGCTATTTGGTCTTTATTTGACGCCTAATTATTTAATAAAAAATGTACTCAAATTTAATGAACAAATTATATTGGCTGAAATTATCGATACGATTACGAAATTAAAATCATATTTTCAAGGCGTTCGCTATGAAATTCATTAGGCAAAAGAAATAACACTGACATGAATTTATCCATTCTCCCTTCCTTCCGTCCTTCATAATTCGATGACGTACGCGTCTATTACCGCAAAAGACATTACTCGTCCTCCGAAAATGTTTTGTAAATAATTATTAGTAATTTAATAACATCCGTTTATGGTTTAAATGGCGAAAGCTGGGGCAAACAGTCTAAAAAGACGCACTTGTATGCTAATTTCGTTTGGACACAAGAAAAAGTGGGCGAATAGTAATATTCGGAATAATTATTATATAACTAATATAGCTATATATTACAAAAAAAATTTTTTTTTAGTATTAAAAGATGAGTACACAGCGGCTTTTCTCGTGAGGCATTTTCGATTGAGGTGCCTCTGCGGCACGCGGCAAGGCTGGCCCTAAAACAACAAAAGAATATGCAAATAGATAAAAATTCGTTTACCCTACATGCCTACAGCTAAAGGAGTGTGCTTCCCTACGCTCGCTTGTATTGCTTGAACTGCTACCAAATTGTCGAAAAATACATTTTCAAATATATAAACGATGTACGATATTTGCTAGATAATATGAACGATATGAATTACGATATGTAGAATATGAAATGCATAATACCAGAAGTACGTATCGCACGTTTGCTTACAATCTCAATCTTGTTTTTTTCACTATTTTTATCGGGTAATTTTTATCCAAACAGGTTGATTTTCAAAAGAAAAATCTAAGAAAAATTTAAGGACGAAAATTAAGAATAAAATTGTTCGTTTTGCAGATCAAACCTTTGAAGCGATTTAATTACCTTTAAAGCTTATTTGATAAGAGATGAAAGATAAACTGTGGAACTAGTTAGTTCTTCGAGCTTCAAGTCGTAAATGCGTTGCTAATTCATAATTAATAGATCAGGTTAGCAAGAAATAAGTTCCTGCATTTTATATGCTCATCGAAAGGCACACATTGTCAGAATTTTCCTAGGCCTGTGTTATTTTATGACATCATGACTTTCTCATCAGAACTGTTTGAAATGTATATTTATGAGAAATAAATCGAATATTTTTCATCAGTACTTCCTTTTGAGCAAAGTAAACATATAACTTTTCACATGTTATGTCACCAATTTTTTCCTTTACTTGTAAACCAAACAAACCAAACTTATGAATGTTATCGCATTTTCTTTAAATGGAAAAAAACTGGCTTGAGCTGGTTTTCTGCCATTTAATCATTTTTTTTTTTTTTTGTATTAATTATGTCTCTAGAAATTGTTTGAATTTGATCTGCTGCGAATTTTTTTTATTGTTTCGTTTACTATCAGCTCGTCGCTGTCGGGCTGATAATCCAGAAACCGTAAGAACGCGTATTAATTCAATTCTCTCTAAGATTACGAGAAAAGCCTTTTCCTATAAATACGGATTACATTATATTATGAGTTTTAATTCAATGCGAGCTTTGAATGAAGAAAGAAAATCAACATTTAAATAAAAAAGTGTTTTGGGTGAAAGTGATGTTTTTAAAATTAAGTGTTTGAAACTTATTGCTTTTGATTTGTGCAGAAGTTAAGAATTAAATCTAAAATATGGAAGTGAGTATATTTAAAAACCTCGGAATATAGCATTATTGCAATGTAGTGTAAATGGAATGAAAAATGGTGCAGTGCAAGAATATTACGTGAAAAAGTGACGAATTTTGATTGATTTCATCCACTTGAAGTTCGTCGGGGTGTTTAATTAAATCTTCGAATTTAAATTAAAGGATGGAAGGTTGAGAAACTAACCGAACATATATATATATATATATATATATATATTTCACTTGATCATAATTATGTGGTGCATTGTGATACTAATGTTATAAAGTCATGTAAATTTTTGTATAAAACTTTTTTGTTTACACATGTATTTTTGTTAATTATCTTTTATCCAGAGTCCTTTACGTATTGCGATCATTGGTCAAAGTAATTTTGCCGCTGAGGTTTTAGAACTTCTTTTGGAGAAGAACTACAACATAGCCGGTGTATTCACTATACCGAATAAGGGTACTCGTGAAGATATATTAGCTGCAACCGCAAAGCAACATAGTATACCGGTTTTTAAATTTGCCTCATGGCGTCGGAAGGGTGAAGTTTTGCCAGAGGTTTTGCAGCAATATAAATCTGTTCAAGCGAATTTAAACGTTTTGCCTTATTGTTCACAATTTATTCCTATGGAAGTGATAGATGCCGCCAATTTAGGTAGCATTTGTTATCATCCGTCAATTTTACCAAGGCATCGGGGAGCCAGCGCTATTTCGTGGACTCTTATCGAAGGAGATGAAGTGGCGGGCTTTTCCATATTTTGGGCTGATTATGGATTAGACACTGGGCCGTTGTTGTTGCAAAAGCAATGCATAGTGGAACCTACCGACACTTTGGACATTTTATATAAGCGATTTCTCTATCCGGAGGGTGTAAAATCAATGGCTCAGGCAGTTAATATGGTCGCCGAAGGTAAAGCTCCAAAAATACCCCAAGCTGAAGTGGGGGCATCCTATGATGCGGCAATGTTTAAGGAGCAAAATCACTATATCGACTTTAAAAAAACCGCTGAAGACATCTGGAATTTTGTACGTGGTCTAGATTCAGTGCCAGGTGCTTTAGCAGTAGTTTTACATGAAGATGGTTCAGAGGAAAAGATTAGATTTTTTGGTGCTCATTTGTATGCGGATGGTCCTGTCATAGGTCCTAAAAGGTTAACATTGAAAGGACTAAAGAATCCCGCTTACATACATGACAGAGGTCTTTTACTTCAAGGTACAGACGGTAAATTCGTGAATATTCGTCGTCTCAAAAGAGGTAGTAAAATGATTAATGCTTGCGATTGGTTCACGAAGTGCCAGCAAAGTCAAATTTCTAATTTTTCTAAAGATGAGTTAGATAAACGTGACGTTTTAATTAATATTTGGCATTCTATACTCAAGTGCCCTATAGAGGCAGAGACAGACTTCTTTGCCGCAGGTGCAGGATCCATGGATGTCGTACGCTTAGTAGAGGAATGCAAGGATGCTTTAGATATGACTCTAGATAGTGGGCAGGTGTTTATGGCACCAGTTTTTGAGGAATTTTTCTGCGAAATTATTAGAAGCTTGAGACAGGAATCCTCGGCGGTTCAGGGGCGAATACACTACGATGGCTTTGTATTACAGGCCAATAAGCGAGAAATTTCAGTACCCACACAATTGTTCATAAATGGGGAATTCATGGATGCAGAGCAACGAAAAACCTTAGATATTATTAACCCATCTAATGAGGAACTACTTTGTAAAGTGGCTTGCGCTTCACGTTCGGATGTAGATAAAGCGGTGCAAGCTGCCCATCAGGCTTTTTATGGAGCCTGGCGTCAGGTATCGGCGCGTCAGAGAGGCAATCTAATGTTAAAATTGGCCGATTTGATGGAGGAATACAAAGAGGAATTAGCGACGATCGAATCTATAGACTCAGGAGCTGTTTACACGTTAGCTTTGAAAACTCATATCGGTATGTCTATAGATGCTTGGCGTTATTTTGCGGGATGGTGTGATAAAATCCAAGGCAATACTATACCTGTAAGTCCGGGTCGCCCTAACAAAGTCTTGACATTTACAAAAAAAGAGCCCATAGGGTAAGTTTTGGAGTTATACTCTACAAAATATTTCTGAAATTATTCGAATCTATATCAGAGTGGTAGGTTTGGTTACACCTTGGAATTATCCTTTGATGATGTTGTCTTGGAAAATGGCAGCTTGTATAGCTGCTGGCAATGCTTGTTTAATAAAACCTGCGCAAACCTGCCCTTTAACTGCTTTGAAATTTGCTGAGTTAACAGTGAAAGCCGGATTTCCACCTGGTGTGATTAACGTCGTGCCAGGCACGGGTACAGAAGCTGGTCAAGCTATATCAGATCATGAACTTGTGCGTAAGTTAGGCTTCACCGGCTCCACATCTATTGGAAAGATTGTCATGCGATCTTGTGCTGATTCTAATCTTAAGAAATGTTCACTGGAATTGGGTGGAAAAAGTCCTCTGGTGATATTTGCCGATTGTGATTTTGAAAAAGCAGTAAAATATGTAAGGATATATTTTAACAAAATCTTAAAGATTTAATAAATCTCCTCCTTTTTAATATAATCCACAGGGAGTATGTTCAGTTTTCTTCAATAAAGGAGAAAATTGTATTGCAGCTGGTCGTCTGTTTGTGGAAGACCGTATATATGATGAATTTGTTCGTCGTGTATTACGCGACGTACGTTCCATGACCATTGGTGATCCGCTGAATCGTTCCACAGCTCATGGCCCACAAAACCATCGAGCTCATTTTGAAAAGTTAATTGAGTTTTGTCGTCGTGGCATTAAGGAAGGAGCTAAATTGGTTTACGGGGGCAGACCTGTACCTAATACCAAAGGTTACTTCTTTCAACCAACCATATTTACAGATGTAGAGGATCACATGTTTATAGCGCAAGAAGAATCGTTTGGCCCTATTATGATAATAAGTAAATTTCACGGCAGCGATGTCGAATCAGTAATGCGACGAGCGAATCGCACCGAATATGGCTTAGCAAGCGGTGTTTTCACCCGTGATATAAGTAAAGCTTTGATGTTTGCTGACAACATTGAAGCCGGTACAGTATTTGTTAATGTTTACAATAAGACTGACGTAGCCGCGCCTTTTGGAGGCTTTAAACAGAGCGGTTTTGGTAAGGATTTAGGCCAGGAAGCCTTAAATGAGTATCTAAAGACTAAATGTGTTACAATAGAATATTAAATATATATAAATATACTTATTCTAAAAGAAACTGAAGTAATTCTAATAAATAAAACTGTATTTTATTTCAAAAGAATACCCAAAAAATATTCTTGAATGGAACTATTAGTATTATATTGTTAAATTGTTATGTTAAATTGTTTTGATGTTTGTTTCATTTTTATTTGAAATATATGCATATTTCAGTTGCTGCTTTATGAACTGGAAAGTCTTTTGTTATTTGTTGAAAACTGTTCCTTTTGAGGATTCCCTCCTAACGTAAAAAAAAGAATGTGCACCAAGTCTCGTCTTCAGAAAACTAATGGCACAGAAAAGTCACTTTTTGAAAAATAATGGTTACCACCTCCTCCTTGCAAACTGTTCTAATAGTGACGACTTCCCCCCTGCCTATGCAATTGTAGTAGCTGCCATACAACAGGTGCCGGTTAATCCAATACTAGATGAAGTCGATTTAACGTTTTCTACCGGAGATAGAGCTATTCTTCAGGTCACAAATGGTACTCGCAAAACTAAACTGAAAGCGGTTACTATTACAGATACTTTGAAATTATCCGATATTCTTTGAACTTCAATTGGAACACGGCAAAAGAAAGGAATACTATTGTTACTTACAAACTCAAAGTTAAATATTTTTGGAGCCGCATCATATTGGTCTCTTTTGAAATGAGCGAGCAGACATAACAGCCATATCCCCATCCTTACGTGATGCCACTTCGCTGTCAAACATAAACCACTAGACGTTAAGTGTTTAACCGACAATTTTATGATCGCACAAAACATAATCTTTATGCAATTAAATCTAAGTAAATGTAAGAAGTTTTCTTTCTCAAGAAGGAAGTCATTCATTACTCACTATTTCATTCATTCGCACAAGAAGGGATGCGTCGATTCGTTCACAGATTTAGGCGTTCTATTTGACCATAGGTTATGTTTTAATTTGCTTGTTGAACTATCTTTAAGCAAAGCTAGGTCCGCGCTTGGTTTTATAAAGAGGTGGTTCGAAGAGCTTGATGATCGGCTATTACGAAAAGGCTTTACATGTGTTTGGTTAGACCTATACTCGAGTATACCTTTATTGTGGGGTCTTCTTCATATAGGTGCTATGTAGATTCAATTGAATCTGTTCAAAAGCAATTCTTGCTGTTTGCCCTTAGGAATTTGGGTTGGGATTCGATCGCCTCTCGTCCCCTATGAAAACAGGTTGCTTCTTTTGTCTATACCGTCTCTCGAGAAACGTAGATTTGTTCTTGACGTTTCCTTCGCAGTCAAAGTAATAAATGGTGCTATTGACTCGCCTTCATTACTTGGAGAAATAAGCTTTAATGTCCCTTACCGCTTCTGTAGGCACTTTATCTTGGTTAAGCTTAATCAGTGTGAATTTAATTATGAGCTGTTCAATCCGCTCAGAGTCGTTTGCAAGAAGCTAAATGACGTCTACCACTTATTCTCGTTATCGGACTCTTTAAAGTCCATTAAAGCAACATTGCTTAATACGCGCGATTTACCTATGTCGTATTTAAACTAGCTCTTAACCTTAAAAAGTTAAATTAATTGATGTTAACTATTATCGGTTGCCAAGCTTATGTATGTTTGCGATGGCTTAGGGGTACATTTGGTCCTACACCGGTTATTAGTTTTATTATACTTATACTAAGTTTTAATACAAATTAATTTAAGATTTACTTTTTATTTTTAGAGTTAGCTTTAAAATTTCTGACTCAAATAACATATTACAAAGGTGAACATATCTTTATATCTGTATACCACCCATTGATTTGTAAACATTCATACAGGTTTTTATTTCTAATCTGTATACCACCCATTGATTCTACAACTGTTTTTATTTCTAATCTGTATAACGCCCATTGATTCTACAGCTGTTTTTATTTCTAATCTGTATACCACCCATTGATTTGTATACCATCCATTGGTTTGTAAATATTCATACAGATGTTTTTACTTAAAAACGCTTCAGTCCTTTTTTTGTACACATTTTTTGCAAATAATTACAGTTTTGTAGTTTTTTTCTTAATTTTTAAACTTTAAACAAATAAGCCACAAGTGTTATTGGCTTAGTCCATTCTAACTCAAAATCAAAACTCAAGATAATTATTGACCTTTAGTATGTTATAAAACAAAAGCATTAGAGTTTCTATATTCGCAACTGTGCAATCAAATCTAACGCTCGAAAACCGAGTTCTATGAAGTAAAATGTTAGTTTTGTTAAAGGCATATAGCCACGCTTCTCATAGCGGCCGAAATCAACACTACTAATCAATTTGTACTTCTCGTTAATGACAAAATTATCGAATTTTAAAGTTGTAAAATTTGCGGGTTGCGTCTAGGACCCGCGTTACAGACAATTTGTAAGCTGAGGGAGTACCGTCTTCGTTCCTTACCCCTTTAATTAAAGACGACGCAATGAAAAGATTGACTTTCAAATATATGTTAGAAAGAAAATTGAAGAGGAAATTGACGAAAAAAATTAACAGTGCTACCGTTCTCACTACTCTTGGGTCAATCCTCGTCTGGTTCCAGATAATATGTTTTCATTTGGGGAGTGTACGAAATAGTTTTAAATTTTCTGCCTCGATCAATAAGAATAAACTTTAAAAAAACTACATTTAATTAATCGTAACTTTGTGCGGGCATGGCCGATTGGTTCAATTTTTGGGCGTTAATAGGAGAGCGTTCCATAAAGTAAATGCGGAAAATTTCAACCTTCCAACTTTAAGAATTCCCGATTAACGAGCAAAAATCAAAAAAATTTTTGTAAAGAAACTGGGTTGCCTTCAGTTTACGCTCCATTGCGAGCTTGTGCTCTAACTAATTTGTCCCGTTTTCATTACCGACCCGCGTGCAGAAACTTCCAATCTAATCTTTCTATCAAATTTAAAGTTGTTATTTTCATTTTTTTGACCAGGAGAGTGCCAACAGCGTACATAGACGCACAGACGCACAGACAGATAGATATGGCTTAATCAATTCAGAATTTCACGCTGGTCATAAAAAAACACGAAATGAATATACCCCGATCATCCAGTTGGCGGAATACTTGTAATAACAGTAATATTATTAAAAAGTATTGTAATTGTTTGCAAAGACAAGCAAAAAGCGTCAGCCATCAAGAAAGGAATTTGAAGCAAAAAGATATATTGGAGAATTTTGAAATGAAACATTCTAAATCAATTTCAACGCTCGCTCTAAGATACAATACTGTTCCAAACAACACGTGCCATAGAAACATAAACAAAATAAAAATGTTGCAGGGAGAATTTTTTTGAGCTTTTGTTTATTTTCATAGACCAAGTTGCAGCTTTTCTTCACTTTCATCGAAAACTTGATGCAGCTTTTGTTGATTTTCATCAAACAGTTGATGTTTCTATTTATTTTCATGATCATGATTACTGTTGATTTTGTTGCAAGAATATGAATAAGAGATATTGAATCAATTGTTGTTGTTGAAGATTCATTTCCTTATACATATTGTGTAAATTGATATTATATAAAGGGTTCGATGTAATGTTTCACTAAAAATTAAAACCAAATAATTCGATAGAAAGAGAGTTAGTGAAAATTTAATTAATAATGGTATTGAACTTTTGAAGTAAGTAATTTATTGAACGAAGAATTTGTAGTTGTATTCACTTCAAAGGAACCGCACAGGGAGTTAAACAGGAACCACGTTCGGGAAGGTCATCTACATAAACTGCTAATGGAAATCTCATGTTTCAAGCGTTCTGCGGTCAGCAATGCAATCAATTTTAAGGATTTGAAGCTTTCTCCTTTGTCTTGGCGTCTTATTTCCCTTTCTTTGAAACCCAACGTCGTATCCCATTGCCTGAAAAAACTTTTTGTATGAGTGATGATGATGACAAATGCGCGATTATTGATGACGTAGCGTGGATTAGAGCTTACAGTACAAGACAGAAACAATTCAATAATTAACCGAATATCGGTTGCTAAAGTTACTCCATTGCCGTGATATGTGTAAGAATTTCTTTCCAAAGATTCGTATAATTAATAAAGAACCCTTCCGTGGTCGGTTGCGTGAGTCTGTTCTTGAAAATGCTTCCGATAAAAAATAAACGAAGTTCTGGTTTTTGCGTTGCGATAATGCACCTTCACATATTTTTAACAGCAACCAGACTAATATCCTCTTACAAACAACTTGATATGGCTTTTTTGGCAATGTCGCTCTTCACAAGGCAATCACTGTGTGGCAATATTAGAAAAAGAGCTGTAAGTTACGAACTGGCAAAAAGTAGCAGATGAAACTGTTGTATGAACTTTTTTAATGGAAGTTGTATGAAATCTAATAAGAAGAATTTTAGATTGATATTCGAACTGTAAGTATTGCTAAAATACTTACTTAATTTTTTTTGAACATAATGTTATGTGTTACTAAAATTTTTAATCGATATGCCTTCTATAATTCGAACGCAAAATCGGATTTACGTACACATATTTTCACACAATTGTCGAAATTAACTAAATTTGTATCTGAGTGAATGATTCGTGTGAGTCTCATTAAATTTAATTTTATACTAAACTTTTCGATGGAAATTCAAGCGAGTTACCTTTTAAATGAAACTGGTCATACTTTTGGAAAAGAAAACGAATATTTCTATTGCTTTTATATGCTCTAATAAAATTATTGAAAGTAATAATACATTGTAAACGCTAAGATAAATAACATATAAAATTTTAATAGAACAGGAAAGAAAGAGAATATTCTTTTGTTATCTGATATTATCATCCCATCATCATGTATTGTGTGTAAAAGCAGTAGTAAAATGAAATGATGAACAAAACCACTTAGCCTAACAGACGCACTTACTGCTGTGTATGCATAGGAATATATTTGCCTCTATACCTACGGATATCCTGTAAAACTATTTTTCAACCCAAAAAATTTCAATTGGTTGAACAATACATTGAATACAATGCGCACACACCTATAAACAATAAGTTTTGTTTATATGTATTACATAATTCAACATGTTGGTGACTAACACATGCACGCACGCTCCAATTCTGGGGA